GCCAAACCAGCAAACAGCCACTGGTGCCGGTTCCAGAGCTGGAGCCGGCGTTGGGCACCAGGGGCGGCATCGGTCCACAGAGGGCAGCGAGGAGCAAGCGGGAGGCGAGCCAGGAGGTGAGCCAGGAGGCGAGCAGCTGAGTGTATCTGAACAAACCAAAAATTTCTGGAACAATGTCCTTTGGAAAGACATAACCAAAGTGGAAATGTTTGACCATAAATGCACAGTGCCCCATTTGGCAAAAGCCAAACACAGCATATCAGCACACACACCTCATACCAACTGTCAAGCACAGTGATGATTCCAGCTTGTTTTGCAGACCATGAATTCCTCTATACAGTGGTGCCTTGACTTACGAACTTAATCTGTCCAAGAAGCTGCTTGTAAATCAAAACACCATTTCCCATTGAAATGCATGGGGATAGGATTAAGCATTAAAAAACAAAACAAAAATAAAAATAAACAGAGCGAGTCCCACGCTGGGACTGCAAAAAAATAATTTAAAAAATTGGAGCGAGTCCCACACTGGGACTGCAATCAATCAATCAATCAATCAATCAATCAATCAATAAGTCAATCAATCAATCAATCAATCAATCAATAAAATCACCAAAAAACAACATTGACCCTCAACCCCCCCCACCAAGAAAACAAAAGCCAGCCACCCAAAACTTTTTTAAAAAGCAGCACCTTACCAGTCTGAAGCCTCTGAAGCCTCCCAGGCTTCCACCACTGCTGTGACCTCCATGGCTAGGAGGCTTGAACCTGGCCGGGGTGCTTCGGCCGCTGGCCTCCCAGCTTCCTCCCGCTCACTCCTCACCACCCTTTGGAGACCAATGCCGCCACTGGTGCCCAACACGAGCTTCAGCTCCAGAACCGGCACCAGTGGGTGCTCACCGAGGCAGTCATGTCGGTCCTCGGCACTCCTCGCCGCCCTCCGCGGACTGATGGTGGGAAATTCAAATGGTGGAGGGTGGTGAGGAGCACTGAGGACCGACGCAGCCGAACCAGAGAACAGCCACTGGTGCCGGTTCCAGAGCTGGAGCCGGCGTTGGGCACCAGGGGCGGCATCGGTCCACAGAGGGCAGCGAGGAGCAAGCGGGAGGCGAGCCAGGAGGTGAGCCAGGAGGCGAGCAGCTGAAGCACCCCAGCCAGGCTCAAGCCTCCTGATGCTGGGCCACCCCTGCTGCCGCCGCCGCTGCATCCCTTTCCCGAACTGTTGGGGTGAAAGAGCTACAAAGAAGCAGCCTCTTTGTCATCAACGGTTAGTACACTTTAAATTTCCCGCCCTTTTCCCCTGCCTTTTTGTTTGTTTGTAAGTCAAAGCAAAATTTTGCGAAAGGAGCTGTTCGTAACTCAAAATGTTCATAGGACAATGCATTCGTAAGTCAAAGCACCACTGTATACCAACATATTCCAGAGATAAATGTGAGGCCATCTGTCCAACAGCTAAAGTTTGGCCGGAATTCGGTCATGCAACAGAATAAGGATCCCAAGCACACCTGCAAATCTGCAACAGAGTGGCTGAAAAAGAAAATCAAAGTGTTGGAATGGCCCAGTCAAAGTCCAGATCTCAACCCAATAGAAATGCTGTGGCAGAACTATAAGAGCTGTGCATAAACAAATGCTCGCAAAGCTCAATGAACTGGATGTTGTAAACAGTGGGTCAAAATTCCTCCACGACTATGTGAGAGACTGATAAAGTCATACAGACAATGTAGAACCTTTTCTTTAAAAAATATTTAAAACATGGCTTTTTAGACAGGCCTTCCTGTCCGTGGCTGGGAGTTTTGAGCCTGGCCAGGGTGCTTCGGCCGCTGGCCTCCCAGCTTCCTCCCACTCACTCCTCACCACCCTTTGGAGACCAATGCCGCTATTAGTACCCAACCCACAGCCATGTTTTTTATTTTGCTTTACATTTTATTAAGTGGTTTTTCATTTAATTTGTTTAGTACATTTTCTATTTTGTTTGGCTGTTGTCAACTATCTTTGTAGTTATGTTATTGTTTTATCTTATTTGTATATTGCCCAGAGTGGCCTTGGCAGCCAGATGGCTGATATAAAAATCAAATAAATGAATAAATAGTTATTGCTACTAATGGTGGTTTTACAAGCTTTTGAATCATAAGGTGTACTTAATTTTTATCACATGGCTTCTCCATGTGGTGTAATATGTCATGTGCTGATGTTCATCTGAAGTTGTATTTACCTACCTGAGGTTGTATTTTCAGACCAGATAAGGACCAGATTATTTTTATTGTGTCAATCAAATAAATGAATAAATAGTTATTGCTACTAATGGTGGTTTTACAAGCTTTTGAATCATAAGGTGTACTTAATTTTTATCACATGGCTTCTCCATGTGGTGTAATATGTCATGTGCTGATGTTCATCTGAAGTTGTATTTACCTACCTGAGGTTGTATTTTCAGACCAGATAAGGACCAGATTATTTTTATTGTGTCCTGATACATATAGGATTAAGCATTAAAAAACAAAACAAAAATAAAAATAAACAGAGCGAGTCCCACGCTGGGACTGCAAAAAAATAATTTAAAAAATTGGAGCGAGTCCCACACTGGGACTGCAATCAATCAATCAATCAATCAATCAATCAATCAATAAGTCAATCAATCAATCAATCAATCAATCAATAAAATCACCAAAAAACAACATTGACCCTCAATCCCCCCCACCAAGAAAACAAAAGCCAGCCACCCAAAACTTTTTTAAAAAGCAGCACCTTATCGGTCTGAAGCCTCTGAAGCCTCCCGGGCTTCCACCGCTGCTGTGACCTCCGTGGCTGGGAGTTTTGAGCCTGGCCAGGGTGCTTCGGCCGCTGGCCTCCCAGCTTCCTCCCACTCACTCCTCACCACCCTTTGGAGACCAATGCCGCTTCAGCTCCAGCAATCCATAAAGTAAGAACTGCTTCCTGCATCACATTTGTTCACATGGAATAGCTCCATAAAAGTCAGTCTTGAATGTCCATATATTCCAAAGTGTCTAATGTAATCTATGTCCCTGGCTTGGTCCAAAACCTACAAACAGCAATATTCTACAATTCAGCAGAGATCTGACTTCTGTGTCAAAGTTTCTGAGCATGTTTAACTGCCACTAACATGGTAGGTTTCAATTATTTACACTAGATATTTCATATCATGTCTCATAACATGAAATAGTGCCAAGAATCCACAAAAAGTAAGTATCTTGAACACAACTGTTAAAAGTATTATAGTGAATTAAGGACCCTGGGCATAGCTGCCTCCTGTTGCAGGCAAAAAGCAGCTTCATGGAAAATTATACCTGTGTGCATATAGAGATATCAAACAGTCCTTCACTCATGCTGTTGTCACAGTCTATATCTATCTCTCCTTGGCTTCTCAAAGTGAGAGAAAAATATGAAGGTGTCAGAGTCACATTTAATGTTTGCCAAAGATTAGAAAAAGTAATTCTTGGAATTACAAGTCCCACACTCCTCCAGCTAGCATTCATTTGGGGGTTGTTACAAAATGTAACTTTTCCAGATTTTGGTTTTATCATATTTTCAGCCTTTGCTCCATCTTAGGGCAATAGACATGTGGTTACCTCATTCTGTTTTCACACAAACTTTCTGATTCACTTGGAGACACAGAGTGCATTGCCTAAAAGCACTCAGTGAGATTCCAAGGGTGACTGGAGATTCAAACCCAATGTTCCCAGCTGGCACCAAGACGCTTATTGCACAATATGGGGCATGGGGAACCTCTGCCCTATGAACCTGAAGCAGCTTGCAGGACTCTTTTTGACCAGTGGCTACGCACTTCAAAGTGTGCCTAATAAGCCTTTTTGTCTAATGTGTCACTGAATTTAGTATTTTCTGATCTGGGGGTTATGTTTTTTCTAAGTTTAATTTGTTTAGTACCTTTTCTATTTTGTTTGGCTGTTGTCGACTATCTTTGTAGTTATGTTATTGTTTTATCTTATTTGTATATTGCCCAGAGTGGCCTTGGCAGCCAGATGGCTGATATAAAAATCAAATAAATGAATAAATAGTTATTGCTACTAATGGTGGTTTTACAAGCTTTTGAATCATAAGGTGTACTTAATTTTTATCACATGGCTTCTCCATGTGGTGTAATATGTCATGTGCTGATGTTCATCTGAAGTTGTATTTACCTACCTGAGGTTGTATTTTCAGACCAGATAAGGACCAGATTATTTTTATTGTGTCCTGATACATAAAACCATAGAATTCAAAGCTGGTGTACTTCCTTTTTCACATGACTGTAGCTTCCCTATTTAGCAGAACTGAAACCTCAAAGGTCTCCTCAAACAACATAATAAGAAGCCAAAGACCTGGGCACAGTGGTGCAGGGTATAGTTTCAAAGCTTCCATTTGCACAGAAAACAGTCTCTTGAAGCCTGTTTACATAGGTATATATCATTGGTGCAGTTCATGTACAGTAATCAGTTCTCCCACACAGAAATGACACTATGGATTATATAATTTCTGCCCTTGTTTGTAATTTGCCATGGTACTTTGGCTGTTGGCAGCGATGCTTGCTGTGTTTTCCAGTGTCATGGCACAAGTCAATCCTATTGGCAATTTCAAAATACAGTACATATACAACTCTGTGCTATAAGGGATCTCTTGCTTCAATCCATAAAGTAAGAACTGCTTCCTGCATCACATTTGTTCACATGGAATAGCTCCATAAAAGTCAGTCTTGAATGTCCATATATTCCAAAGTGTCTAATGTAATCTATGTCCCTGGCTTGGTCCAAAACCTACAAACAGCAATATTCTACAATTCAGCAGAGATCTGACTTCTGTGTCAAAGTTTCTGAGCATGTTTAACTGCCACTAACATGGTAGGTTTCAATTATTTACACTAGATATTTCATATCATGTCTCATAACATGAAATAGTGCCAAGAATCCACAAAAAGTAAGTATCTTGAACACAACTGTTAAAAGTATTATAGTGAATTAAGGACCCTGGGCATAGCTGCCTCCTGTTGCAGGCAAAAAGCAGCTTCATGGAAAATTATACCTGTGTGCATATAGAGATATCAAACAGTCCTTCACTCATGCTGTTGTCACAGTCTATATCTATCTCTCCTTGGCTTCTCAAAGTGAGAGAAAAATATGAAGGTGTCAGAGTCACATTTAATGTTTGCCAAAGATTAGAAAAAGTAATTCTTGGAATTACAAGTCCCACACTCCTCCAGCTAGCATTCATTTGGGGGTTGTTACAAAATGTAACTTTTCCAGATTTTGGTTTTATCATATTTTCAGCCTTTGCTCCATCTTAGGGCAATAGACATGTGGTTACCTCATTCTGTTTTCACACAAACTTTCTGATTCACTTGGAGACACAGAGTGCATTGCCTAAAAGCACTCAGTGAGATTCCAAGGGTGACTGGAGATTCAAACCCAATGTTCCCAGCTGGCACCAAGACGCTTATTGCACAATATGGGGCATGGGGAACCTCTGCCCTATGAACCTGAAGCAGCTTGCAGGACTCTTTTTGACCAGTGGCTACGCACTTCAAAGTGTGCCTAATAAGCCTTTTTGTCTAATGTGTCACTGAATTTAGTATTTTCTGATCTGGGGGTTATGTTTTTTCTAGGCGGTTCTACTCCCAGCTAAAGCAAAAGCCATGTGTTTTGGCAAAAGGCAATTCAATGAGTTAACTGCATCCCTTTATCCTTAGGGATGAAATAAGACAGTTTGACCCTACATTCCCTGAGATGAAGCGTCCTTTTGGGGGGGGGGTGTCTTTCCCACTCGTTCTTTATGGCTGCATCCTCTATTCTGAAATTTCAATGTGTAGCCAGGATGATTTCGGGACTCTTCTGTGCCCCTCCCTCATCCCCGCAGAGCTGAATCCTGCGGGACTCAGAAGGGCTCCCTGTTTGTCATATTTAGAGCATATTGCTCGTTGTCATATTGCTCGCCCTTGTTCTTGTGGCTCGACTCGAAAAAGCATTTTCGAGCCAGCAACGAGCACAGAAAACTTTCCGCCACTCTGCCCATGGAGTTTCGTATCCTCGACGCTGACCGGCACCATTTCAGGGCAGTTTTCTCAACACCCTTTGAAAATGCAGGGTCCTAAACTTCGGACTTTTCGCACGGATAACCTCTATGCTGCTACGTCGGGACGCGGCTCTTCCCCTGAACTGGGGGGGGGAGGGGTGAATCCGAGGCTAGGAGAACGCTGGTTTTACACACCTCCTCTTCCCGCCTAAATCCTGCAATCTTAAAAAAAAGAAGAAAAAAGGAATGGGACTGCCTGCTTGCCACAAGAGAACGGCCTTTCTTCCGCGTTGCCGGGCGGTTTCCAGAGAAGGGGGAAATCTCTTCCCCGTTGCCCTCGCGGGCTGTTCCCCGGGGAACTTTGGCAGCAGCCAATTAAAGCAGCTCTGCAGAAAGGGGGGGGCAGAAGGGGCGCTTGCAATCTTAAAAAAAAGAAGAAAAAAGGAATGGGACTGCCTGCTTGCCACAAGAGAACGGCCTTTCTTCCGCGTTGCCGGGCGGTTTCCAGAGAAGGGGGAAATCTCTTCCCCGTTGCCCTCGCGGGCTGTTCCCCGGGGAACTTTGGCAGCAGCCAATTAAAGCAGCTCTGCAGAAAGGGGGGGGCAGAAGGGGCGCTCTTCCTCCACCCACCCACCCCCCTTCTCCCCCCCCCGTTGTGGGCCATCCCTCCTACCTCCCAGCCCGTGGGTCCATCCGCCCGCCCCTCTTCCTCCTCCTCCTCCCGCCCCTCGCCTTGTTCGGCGCGAAGGGAAGCTGACAGCAGCCGGAGAACGCCAGCGGAGGAGAAGAAGGCTGGCGAAGGGCAGCCAGCCTCGCGCCCGCTCCGTCGCCGCTCTGCCCGAGGCAGCCCGCTCGCTGCCTGCCTGCTCCTTTCTGCTGGGGGTAGGGGGAGGGAGGGAGGGCAGCTACGGGAATACAGCAGCTGCTGCATTACCACCGCCGCTACCACCGAGGAGCGTTGCCAAGGGTCGGCTCTTGTTCGGCGAGGAGTTCGTGGAGCCGAAGATAACCTGAGAACGCCGACCTGCTCCTCCTGCGCAGGAAGGGGAGAGGGAGAGGTGGCAGGCAGCAATACACGCACGTACATACATATCTGTACATACACACGCGGGCGGGACATGCACAGGAGATCTGCGGAAAGGGGGCTGCCCTGAACCTGATACACGCCCAAAGGCTGAACCGTGAGTGGCTCCCTCCCATCCACATCCATGTGCTTTGGGCCAGCAGAAGAATCATCCTTGCCCACCAAGATGGAAAGGTTCAGGCTCTCGTGAAAGTGCCCGCCGACAAGTCGGACCCTCCTCCAAGGGGGCAAACGAAGATTGTGAGCGTGTTCGGGCACGCATAGGATCACGCTCTTCCATATCGCTGTGTGGTGTTTTTTTAAAATACATATTTTGTTAAAGCAGACAATTGCATGATTTTTTTTTTTAAAAAAAGGAACTCCCATATTTTAAATATTCAGTAAAGAGTTGGGAAGTTTTGCTTGTCCTGTCGTGCAGTCGTGGGGGGGGGGGGGAGGAAAGAAGAGAAATCGTCGGCTTCCTAGGAAATCCTTCTTGAGCGCTAAGGAGCCGTCCAGAAAGAATAAGCACAGTCATCATAATACAAGGATACATCTGGACTCTGTTTGTATTTCCTGGTTTTCCTGGGGACGAAGATGCTGTCCTACAGTGTCCTGGATGCTAATGTGGTGGACGTGGAAAAAAGGCGAAATCCTTCCAAGCATTATGTGAGTAGAGAAGGGCGAACAATGCTTTTGCAGGAAGGTCATTAACTCCTAATTATACCAGTGCATGTCCTGACAAGGGATGGATGTCAGCCTTGAAGTATTGTAGGAGTTTTGATAGTTGGATGTTTAGTTCTCAAGAGCCAGGAAGATGGTTTGAGAAGCCAGGCAGGTGCCATAGGCGTTCTTGAAAGGATCCTGCCCTTCCTCTCCTAACTTCTGTGGTCAACCAAGATGCAGGGTGGGTAAGCTTTGGGGAACATTTTAACTTGCTGTAATAATCTATTTATTGGATTGTATTGGTTATAAAGTTTCTATGCAAACAAGAGAGGGTCCCAGAGTGCTTTAAACACTCGTGGATTTATGATGGCATAATCTCCTATGGATACTGGCCAATTTGGAAGATACATCTGATGCAACGAGCTGCAGTTCATGAAAGCTGAAATCAGATAAAACTTGATAGTCTTTAAAGTGTCACTGGACACTCTGTTATATTCCCAGTAAAAGACTGATGCAGCTCTACTACACCTTTGGAAATTCTGCATAAGGTCTGTGATTTGAACACCAGCAGCTCATTAGGAACTGACTTCAGTGAGGAACATGTGCCTTCCTCGGTGGTCTGTAAAGGACACAGGTTGGGTTGGTATAAAACAAGATCCCTCCTGACTGACTTCTACGTTGTGGCTCAAAGAAGGTGACCCTGCCACAACACACAAAATAGTAAAATGGTTGCATTTTCTGTTTTATGATGGTGGTGTGCTGTGGTTTTGGTACAGTGTTCTGTGTAGGAGAGTGTATAAAACTAGATGTAGTTCAGAGCCTCTGCGGCCCTGAACATCTGATGGAGTGTCAGTTTTCTGTGCATTCCATCAGATGCTCTCTGGTCCAGTTGGCTGACCATTTCTTGCCCTTCCTTTGCTGCACAAGGCACAGCTTTTGCTATTGGAACCATCTGGGCTGATTTAACCCATGTTGTCATTTTGGTTTCAATGCACGGTTGGGAAAAATGCATCCACTTTCCTTCTGCTCTCTGCTTGAGATGTATTCATAACTGTGTTCCTGCTTTTCTGGAATTCAGTGTTCATTTTTCTGAGTTACCATTCATGTCTCACAAATCAGTAAGGAAGAAGTATTTCATCCTGAAGCTTCCTGGGTATTGCTTAAGGATCATCATTTTCCGGAGTGAATGTCCTGGTTTTCTCGGTTATCCTGCACTGGCAAAGTGTCATTGCTTGACTTTCCCATTGACGATCCAGGCCAGTGACCGTACATGAACCCTCAATTCTCCTCTTCAGCTGAGTCAGTTCGATAAGTGTGCAGTGCTAGTTCTGCTCCTGTGGAGTGCAGACCAGGACACAAGCGTGGACTTTGCAGGAGAGCATCTCACTGCAAAGGCTCAAAGAGGAATAAAAGACCTGCTCTACTGCCTTAGAAATGATGAGATCGCTACCTGAGCCAGCATGTTTGAGGTGTCATGAAGGAGCAGCAAATGGTTAGACCTTTACTTTGGTGTTATTTCTTATTGCCTGAGAGAGAGGAAAATGTTCTGGGCTTGGAAAAGTTACACTTTTGGACAATGGCCCCTAGAATTCCCTGACCACCTGCCAAGGGTCATGGTGCCTGAGGGGTTCTGGAAGGTGTAGTTCAAAATAAGTAACCTGGCTAAATGCTGGGACTTTTTGTCTCAGGTGACAAGAGTAATCTGCCTGGCATTGGGTATACTATGCACCTTGACTTGGGCAGTTGGGATGCCCTTTGTTGCAGCAAAATTCCTTGGATTGGCCCTGGGAGAAAATAGATTGTAGCAGTCAGTATGAGATCAAGGAGATGGAGATCAGCTCTGTTGCCCACCCCGACCCCCTGAGAAAGGACAAGAAAGATAGTCTGGATTCATAATTTTCATTTAAAACTTGTTTAATCCCAAGAGGGGTGGTAAATTCAGTGTCATATACCAAAGCTATCACTGAGCAAGATGCGGATGCTTTTCAGGACATTCCACACTCTTACATGGATGTGGGTGAAAAGTTTTGCTGGAGCTGTCCCAACATTTTGCTTCTACTCTCTACCTATGGATTTCACCTGTTGACACAATCAGCTAAGACTGATTCAGAGATGTATCATTTATGTTATCCATAAAATACGTAGATGGTAAAGTGCATTGGGTGGTCTTGTAAAAATAAGCGTGTGTTCAACGTGTGCTTAAAAATAAGGATAGTTAGAGCACATATAATGTCAGAGTGGGTGACACTGTTCTGAACTAGTGTAGAGTGGACCTTGGGAGCACATGGCACCAGCAAGAGGTCCTCTCGAGTTGAGCTCAGGGACTGAATGGGTGTGTAAAGCACACATTTGTTTCAAGTTGTTTAGGGTTTTATATACAGTACTAACAAAGAAATCCTCAATGTGATCAAGTAACAAATAGGCAGCCAGTGCATGTTCTTCATTTATGGCATGACTAGGTATCTACTGTATGGCAGGTACCTATGGCAGGTTTCAGGGCCAAATCTTTTGCCCCAGACCTTACCATGGACCACACTAAGTCTGAAAATGGCTGGTTTGACCTTTTTGAGAAAGCCTTTCAGGGTTTTTTTTTGGAGGGGGGATTGGGGACCTCTGTAGTACCCAGTACAAAAACTCCAATTACCCAAAGTAAACACCTCATGGAAGTCTTGAGACACTGAACTAGGATGTTTAAAATATCCTTTGTTTTTTAAAAAATAAAACATTAAAAAAACAACAACCCAGAAGGAACTCTGATTACATGGGGACCCATGATAGTTCCTCTTGTGGGCTGCATGCAGCTTGTGGGCAATTCATTCTTGACTCTGGTTTATGTCAGGACCTTCCCTCATTCCTTCTGCAGTGTCTGCAGCTTTCAGACTTACTTTAAGGAAGGCACATTACAGTAGTCTAAGCTTGAAGTTAACAGTGTCTGGACCACTGTGGCCAAGCTATCCTTGTGCAAGAATGGCCACAGCTGGTCTTATCAGCCACGCCTAGTAAAAGGCCACCTGAGCCACTGAGGATACCTGAGCCTCCAGTAACAAAGGTGGATCAGGTAGACATACCTCACCAAGGTTGTGTTCTTGAACCTTCAGAGGAAGCGTAGCATCATGGGCAGGTCACCTGTCTCTGGGACCCGGAGCTCATGTCCCAAAAAGGCCTTCTTTGTCTTGCTAGGATTCAGTTCCAGTTTATTGACTTTCATTCACCCTACCATAGCATTCAGGTGCTGTTCCATGGTCTACATGGAAATACCCACCTCATATACGATGAGGATATAGATCTGGGTGTCATCAGCATAGCAATGATGCTTTGGTCCCTGCCTTTTCATGACTGTTCCCAGCATCTTCATGGCTCTAATGATAATTGTATCCAGATCAAATTCATTGAAGCTAGTGGTTATCAAGTGTCCAGATGACTTGATGAATTGGATGCATATTGAAAAACATAAAGCAAGGTTCAACAAGATACACAGAAATGTTAATACTGGAGTGAGTGACAGAGAACATGCCTCTATTAGTCTGTTATAAAGTCAATCAGTTCTTTGACAGATTGCATCAAAACAGATTATGCTCAGCCTCATGTGTGTGATATTCACAGACTTGGCCTGCAGTATGACCCAAACAAGTATGTATTGCACCTGGCATTCTTAGTTCGATTCCTTTGCTCATCTAATTCAGAGTATACATTATGAAACTTGGTAGGGCAACTTCTAAGGGTTTAATCCAGACTGGGTGATGTGAAGTGTCTTGTTGCTTAATCTCAACACCATTTATCCACAGTTTATAAAAGTACTGTTTCCTATGCACATCCATTAAAAAAACCCAGAGTTGTTGGGTTTTGTTAACCTCCTTGTGTCTTTTTTAAAAGAAAGGCAGGATATAAATATTTTAAATAAGTATATATATATATTTAATTCCAGTATGTTCAGATGCCTCTGCTCAAATAAAGGATGGAAACAGCAACATTTTCTCTTAAATCTCCATCTCTTCTTCTTTGTTCTCCTTCTCCTCCATCAGTTTTTCTACCCTATTGTATATCTTCTTTGATCCCACTCCCAAGCCCTTTCTGTCCCAGGGCCAAAGTCACTCTGAAATACAGAGAGCAATTAGTATTTTTAAAATACAGTGGTGCCTCGACTTACGAATGTCCCTACTTACAACCATTTCGAGTTATGACCAGTTCTGGCAGCAAAATTTTGTTTCTACTTGCGACCAGAGCTTTCACTTATGAACAGAAAAAGGCAGGGGGAAAAGGTGGGAAATTCAAATTGCTAGCTGCAGGTGGCAAGAAGTTTGCTTCTTTGTACAGTGGGGTCTTGACTTGAGAACTTAATCCGTATTGGAAGGCGGTTCTCAAGTCAAAAAGTTCTCAGGTCAAATCTGCATTTCCCATAGGAATGCATTGAAAACCATTTGATCCGTATCTGCTCTTTTCCGTCCATAGAAACTAATGGGAAGCTGCTATTC